GTTGGAGTTGACAGAGACCGCCGCCATTTTGGTCCCGCTTCAGATTTTTAAATGTTAATATCTCGAGTTTGGATTTATTAATTTACAAACAAATTATATATCAAGCATCATTACAAAGGTTTCTATCAATCATGCGAAAATAATTCAAAAAAAATTGAAAAACAAAAAAAGTTAGAAAATAAGACTTTTTAAATTTGCATCTGGTAACGACAGGAAGTACTGACGACGAACGAAATGTCGCGTCCTGGATAGTAATTACCACGGTCTATCATCCCTGAAAGTTTCATTTTGATATCTATTACAGTTCTTGAGATTAACCGTGGACAAAATGTCATTTTAAAATCAGGATATGTCCCGTAACTTGGCACCAGAAAGGAATTTCCAAAAAATCTCTCGGATAAAATAACTTCAGATAACAACACATTGTTCCTGCAAATTTCATGAAAATCCATCCAGTAGTCTTCGAGAAATCGCGTGCACAAAATTAGATGGTCAGAAAAATAATAATAATAAGAAACAGTAGAATCACTATAAGGTCTTCCGTGATGACGGAAGACCTTAATAATAATAATAAGAAACAGAGCAATAACTATAAGGTCTTCCGTGAAGACGGAAGACCTTAAAAATACAGTCAAACTGCGTTTTCTCGAACTCGAAAGGACTGAGAAAAAACTTTTGAGAGATAAGAGATTATTAAATTTATTGGAGATATATTATTCAAAGAATAAGTAGTTTGGACGTACAGATCACTTCAACATGGATACCTATGGTATTCGTGATACATGTACTGTAGATCACTTAATTTTCGCGAAACCTTATTTTCGCGAGATAGTCATTGACTCTTTATAAGCGAGACAATATTTTCACGAATTGTGGCCATTGCTCTATATAATCTTAAGGAATACTATTAAACGCGAGAATGAAGTTTTCGCGAGCATATTTTCTCGCGTAATTACGCGAAAATAAAGTTCTCGCGAATAAATATTGATTTACAGTATTATTAATTTAGTGTTCAAATACGAAGTTCAACCATAAATTCTCCCATTGTGCAAATTATCCCACTATCGTTGATGTCATGGCATACCGAACAAAATACATGCAGACAGTGCTTAAGACTATATTGCAAATTTGTATTATGAAAAAAATCCAGCGATATAGTATGCACGCCTGCTAATCGATCACTTGCACAACCAGCAGTTGTGTATAACAATCAAAAGAGATCGATTTCCGGTTGTGCAGTTGATGCGAATAATTCCAGTGCACAGGTAGTAAATGGACTCGATTCAGGCAGTAATTGATATTTTTATTAAAATATAAGAATGTGATTCCATGAGCAATTTATTTTTCTTTAATTTTACACTCTCATAAAATGCAGTGATTGTTGATTAGCGACTATATTTGTTTTGAAGCAAGGGCTGGTAGAGCGAAAACCCTGATTGAAAACAGTATTCGCCGACTAAAATTCATTTTAATCTCAACTAACCTTGAAAATCCAATGTCCACCATGAGTATGCTACAAGTGCATCCTATCCACCTTAACTGGGACTTCGATATGTGTATAATTTGACAAATATTTGAAGAAAATAACATTGCTTGTGCATGCGGTCATTCAGTTGTGAAAGAGATCTCGGGTTATGCATGAGATAAAGGATAAAAAGTTACGCAAGTATTATACAATCTCCATAATTCACCTCTTATACTATTTTATTTCTGGTAATTATAAAATGTTAAATATTGTCTATAATATGAAAACGTTGCAGGGACAGATCCAGCAATTTTTTGAAAAAAAGGGGGGTTGGTTGGTTGTCCAGGCGTCCAACACTCATGCATATAGGCACTTCAAACCTGGCAACACTGAGTTTTCAACAGTTCTATGGGGGACTTTGACAGGCCAAAAACAAACAAACAAACAAAAACAAAAAACAAAAACACAAACAAGCAAGCAGGGCTCGGATTGCATGTGACGGTACTCGGAGGAAAGCATATTAAACGAGGGAAATCTATTTATAGCGATAGAAAGGACAGAGATTGAACAACATGTACAGTGTATTTATTTTATTCGAAATATTTTTTTTATTCAAAGTATTTATTTTATTCAAAATATTAGAAGTAATAAAATATCCATGTTACATAACTCTCTCTCTAATCAAATAGGGGGAGGGGGGGGGGTGTCCAACCCAGGAACCACCTTCTAGATCCGCCAATGATGTACAGTCATTTTTGCAAGCACATTTTGACTTTTTCAGCAGCAGCGGCCGATCTCTTATATCGGGAAATGAGACGTTATTTTTTTCATTAGTTCTGTAAACTAATCTTAATTTTAAAAACTTTCTTAAAACTGAGCATTTATTGTTGTTGTTTCAATTTCATTGTCATTTCTAATTGGGTGATTAATAATATATGGTTATATAGAAAGAGTTTACAATAGGTACTCCCCAACCAGGGAGTAATCAAGATATGAAAGGAAATCGTCATGGTTTTCCAGATAATAATGAAATGGTAAAAGTTGCAAGGTGAATAAAAATTGAAAAAGTTTTTCAACAACACTGTAGTAAAAATTGTTTTGAATGTGCTACAGATGTGACAACAAAGATTTTTCTTACATTTTTTCCATCAAACTACGCGCCTTGATTAGCCTACTGCAGTAACCATGGGTATTATCACGTGACAAAGATCCAGGGTTTCGGCATGTGGTTCATCTTGAGAGACCAACATCTTCAATCATACATTCTTATAATTTATCATTGACTTTTTTATTGATTCATTGATGACTCCATTTGATGAACAAATGCACTAAAATTTTTATTTAATTAAAACAAACATTTTATTTTTTTTTAGCTTTGAAGACAGTCTGAAATGAAATTGATCTATTTCAGCGCTTTGAATATTTTGTGCTTCCCATGCATTGATGCTTTTGAAATTAAGAAAGTACTAGTAATTTTTGAAATTATAAACTTTGCGGCTGATTTGATGCTTTGCATTAATTTTATTTGGAATGTTTAATAGGGATGTTTTTTTTATTGAACGATTATTTTGGATTTTTTACGATATTTCCCCTATGGTATTCATGATGAATAAATGTAATAAATATAATTTGTGAGAAAAAAAGTGTACGACAAGTCCGGGGTTGAATATCGGGAGGGGGGGGGTGTCCTGTCCAGAAGCACCTGTAATGTGGTGTTGTCATATTGATCCTTTCCATCTCGATAACAAAATTCAGGATACCTAGCTTCAAAACACCAGGAAATACTTACCCCTTGGCAAACACATATCATCGAGAGCCTGTCTCTTATTTTTTTCACAGACAGCACTTTTACTATAAAATATATATGAAATGAAAGCATGAAAAATTCGGTCTTTCCCTCCACTTTTGTTGCAGTACCGTCAAATAAAGGTAAGGTATGTTTGAGTTAAACAATTTCGTACTGAAAGAAAATGATATACTGCCCAGTATGTGCTGTTTTTTTTTTTATTTTTTATTTTATTTTATCTCTTTTTTATTATTTATTTTATTATTATTTTTTTTTTGGCAGACGGAATAGTCATATTAAAGATGCATTGGATAATTCACACAAGATTTATGATTTAAATAATACACACATAATTTTTTTTTACCGTAATTATTTTGATTGTAAGTGAAACTTTAACCCCCTCCCCTAACAGATCTACTTCAACAGATTACTTATCTATCTTTTTTTCTCACAAATTCAACTTATTTGCAAGAAAATCCTATAATTTTATGTTTTAAATTTTGCAAGACTACGTTATAATTCTATAATGTTTAATTTTATTCGCAAAGTTTGAAACTTTTTGTCCTTCATCTCATGCATAACCCGAGATCTCTTTCACAACTGAATGATCGCATGCACAAGCAATGTTATTTTCTTCGAATATTTATCAAATTATACACATATCGAAGTCCCACTTTTGGTGGATAGGATGCACTTGTAGCATACTCATGGTGGACATTGGATTTTCAAGGTTAGTTGAGATTAAAACGAATTTTAGTCGGCGAATACTGTTTTCAATCAGCGTTTTCGCTCTACCAGCCCTTGCTTCAAAACAAATATAGTCGCTAATCAACAATCACTGCATTTTATGAGAGTGTAAAATTAAAGAAAAATAAATTGCTCATGGAATCACATTCTTATATTTTAATAAAAATATCAATTATTGCCTGAATCGAGTCCATTTACTATCTGTGCACTGGAATTATTCGCATCAACTGCACAACCGGAAATCGATCTCTTTTGATTGTTATACACAACTACTGGTTGTGCAAGTGATCGATTAGCAGGCGTGGTATTGTCATATCTTATATTGTTGCTATTTTCCGATATATATCAATTTCTTTAAGGTGAGAGAAAACTTGCATCTATTCAAATAAACCTACCTACGAGTTTAGACAAGAAAGGAAGTTTAACGTTCAATCCATGCTTTCTCCCGGGGTATTAGTCTAAATAAAATGAAATACCCCTTCTCGATCTCGATACTATTCAGATTTTTCAACTTGAATTTAACTGTCATTACTTCTCACCTCGAAACGAAATAATATACTAATATCTGATTTAAAATTTTTAATGTCTGCGGTTTAGGTAATCAATATTGTATATAACATTAAATAATATGGTTGCCCCATTCCAATTCAATTTTCTGGATCCGCCACAGCGTTGTGTATGCATATCGTGCAATTTTTGATAGTTCAGTGTAAAAAAAAAAAAGAATTATACATGTATGATGAAAATGTTCAGCATTAAAAAAGCAGAAAGAACGTACACATGCATATCTTCAATAAAGTTTTGTATGTTAGGGGAAACTGAAAAAAAAATCAATCATATATTAAAGATTCTCGCATTTATTTCAAAAAGAATATACAGGAGTAAAAAGCGAATGAAGGAAGTTTTTCAGCGCAGAATAAACATGATGCATTTGAGTTTATACACAGCTGTAACATAAAAAGGTGAAGTTTGTTCATGCTGTATATAAAGACAAGTTTTTACCTCCAAGTATTACCCTGGCATATCCTCCGTCAATGACCGGTCTAACACCCATAGTTAGCTAGATCAACCACAAAATAAATGCTACATCATTCTGATTATCACTGTGTGATTCATCTTCACACTAAATACGAATACAGAGTGTGCAACCGGTTGTTGATTTCTTTATGCTATGCTTTTTCTCAATATTGTGTCTTCTTAAAATTTTATAGTATAAATTTAAATGTTTCAACAAGTTTAAACATTTATTAATCCTTTAGATCCTAGAGATAGCGAAACATTAATTTATTCATAGAATTTTTACTTCATATTTTATCAATGAAGGCATCCCCTCGTTTTAAGTATTTTAACATTTCTACAAAGCGAACTTGCCCATACTAGTATATGATATGCTTGTCTTTCAGATAAAGAAACAAGATGTGTTCGTGAAACACTGATGCCCCCGTATGTCAGCTTTTGACGAAGGTTATAATTTTTTCTCAATTGCAAGTCAAACTATAAGTCAATGGTTGAAAAATGATGTTATTTAAAGAACGGACTGGTTCTCAACGAATCCATCTCCGCATTTTATACGAAAGTCCAAGCACTAGCCTTAAAAAAGTTATGGCCAATGTTAATTTTTTTTTTATACGTGGGCCAAACTTCAAAAACAAGGTCAAAAGGGTCAAATTAATGGTACTCAGGGGAAGGCCTTGTCATAAGAAATACACGTTAAATATTAAAGCCCTAGCATCAACTTTTCAAAGTTATGGCAAAGCAACTTCACAATGTCAAGGTTTTGGGATTTCGGAACTCCATCCACACAAAACGAGTTCCGAAATCACAAAACCTTGACATTGTGAGGATGATGGCAAAGGTAACTTTTTTTTTTAAAGTAGGCCAAACTCCAAGTTCATCGTCAAAATGTTCTGTAACCAAATGAAAGCCTTGTCACATGCAATACACCCTCGGAATATGAAGGCCCAACTGTTCAAAATTTATGTCCAGGGTTAAAATTTTAAGACAGACAAACGGACAGACATGGCAAAAACTATAAATCCCCGAATCTTCGATTACGGGGGCATAAAAAAGGACGTACTGCGTATGTCGATAAATGAGACACCAAATGAAGTGGTGATATTGCAGGAAGGGTCACTCAGATTCTTACGTGCTTAATACGTTATGCACGATTAGTGTATTCCTTTCATATTAATTTCCTGCGGTGAATACCGGTATTTACATTTTGAGGTACTGCAAGTTAGTATCTGTTATTACACTGTATATAACAATCAAAATTATTACACTGTATACAAGAAAACATTGATGTAACCATCAATTGTCGCCCGGGAAATATATAAGGTAAACTATGGACATGAGTCTTAATCATTAAACCGCTTCGATATGTGTGACAAGGCATGCGTCTAATTGATGGAGACGATAGTCGCGAATATTTGGAAAACTTATAGTCGGATAAATGTCAAACAAAAACGATACCAATTTAAACTACAATTCCTCGAGTAAATGTTGGCTGCATAAAATATAAATTGAAGTTAGACACATGCATCACCCATATTCAAAAATGTATTTAATTTTCAATTTTAGAATATAAAACATGAATCGTTCAGAGTACGTTTTTATGCGAGAAGTAAAATTCGATGTTCTAAAAAGAGGGACCTGTCGTTTTTTCGATTGTAAATAATAAACAATTTTAAATATTAAATATGAAAAACATATATATTTTTACAGATTCACTTTCTGGAAGTAAATATATTATGTATCTTGTAATTAATAAAGGGAAAGAACATTCTGATTAACAATCTTTTCCATGTTTAGAAAACCCTTAATTTTGAATAACTACTCCCACCCCAATCCCCAGGTACCAACACTTAAACTTATATATATAGAGCAGCCCGGTCCTCCGGGCTGCAATAACAATCAAAAAGTTTGCAGGTCCTCCCACAGAGGCTACATAAAGATACTGATGCTCTCCCTACCTCCAGAGTTTCATAAAACCCCGTTAAGATATCACACTAATGGCACACATAATTTACGAGAGGACATTGTTACACGGAAATTATTTCTTTAGAAGTTCCTTTACTTAGTACTATGAGTATATGAATGAAATTAAGACACATGCGCTTACCTCTGTATAGATGATGATAGGTTTTTGTCTAATGAAATTTAAATGATAAGTCGTGCTTTTAAATATTCATTGAAGTATTTGGTGACCTTATTACCCCGAGACACACGAGGACATAAGTGTGACAGGTAGTATAAGTAAATTATATGTACACGAAGTACAATTTGCATGTTAGGTAACCGGGGTCACTTATGCATCCTTGTTATACAATTTCCTCTTTATACAATATCTTCCTAGATACACGTTTCATTGCCTGGAAAAAATAACATTGCGGTTTTTAGAAACTCATTTCGTCAATTATTTAAGGGTTTGGTTTTAAAAATATCGTACCCCTTATGGTCTTGTACGGTTTTGTTTATTTTCCTGCCAGGGTAATACTTGGAGCGTTTGGGATTTCTCACAACGAAATAAAAGACCTATAAAAAACGTGTGTACACCTGTTTTAGTTGTCTAATTGAGAACATTAAAGTTGTGAGCATTGTAGAATATTTCCAAAAAAGAAAAACAATTAGAAATGTTTATATTACACGCAACCATTTCCAATCCAAAAAATTTGCATTCTAAGTTAAATACCTAAACACTTTATTTCGCAAGGTGCCCCATATCCAAAAAAAAAATTTTTTTATTGAAAACAGTTTTCAACATAGAATAGTAATTCATAAATGAGCAATGAGCCCTTAAAGCCCATGTTCCTCTTTTTTTCACAATTTTGACTTGACATTTAGCGCGAAATGCGTACATCCACTAAATATTTTGCCCTTTATTTCTTAAGTAAACCCATTGCTGTTAATCAGTTCAAGAACAACACTAGGTATGTCACCTGTATAGATTTCTTAATCAGTGGCTTTTCCATCAATGAAACGTTCTATGGCGTACCTCAGTCAATACATCAATAATTAATCATTTTAATCCAATGTCTTGAACTCAAAATACCTATTGAAAATAAGCAAATTTACGAATGCTTTGTGTGTTCATTAACTTCACCGCCCCAACACCATCCCCAAAGCAGAAGTATTCATAAAGATTAGATTTCGTTTCTTTCTTGTCAAAATGGAGTAAAGCTGACAGTTCTTTCAATTAGCTCACCACACTTAGATGTACGGGAGATGAAGGAGATTTGTGGAGATCATTGACCGGTGAATGCGCAAAAATTTTGCCCGCATCCATATTTCTTTATCAAGAATGATCTTTTTTACCCTGTCATAATTCAGTGATCATCCTTTCATAATAGTAAATAAACTAGGGAGGTGACCATCAGTGTTTGTAAAAGGTCATTCAGTTTCTTCAACCACTTTAACCTCTGCGAAGAAGATGAACGGAAACTGCAAATTATTGGAATTTTTCGAAGTCCAAGGAGAATAAGTCCGTCCAAAATGGGCCGATCGTACCCAAAACAAAAGTTGACTAGTCATTCTTATAACAAATCTGTATACCAAATTTCATTTCAATATGTGCAACCTCTGAAAAGAAAATGAACGGAAACTAATGGTGGACCGACAGACAGACCGACCGACAGACATCAGCAAAGCAGTATGCCCTCCCTTCTTCGAAGGGGGCATAATAATGTAGGTGTAGCAAACAGAGAGCTCTGAAAACATATGCTATTGAATCTGTTGTCATGAAGAAGCAAGCATCCCCCGCTGACCAGTCGCACGTACCGCCATTCGACTTACATTCGGGAAAACCGAGAAATCCGTGGTCAATTTAGCATGAAAATAATGGCCTAACAATGTATGAAAGACGTCACTCAACATTAGACCTAGCGACAGACTATTTGCAAATGACCATAGAATTTAAGTAATGTGATTGTAGGGACCCTTGCATTATCAACTTGTTTGTCAGTTTTAAAATTCAATCGTTCGAAGAATATGCTCTTGTGTATTGAATCAACTGGAAGATAATAACCCCATATGCGGGTGATAGCGACACATTTCTACATGACTAAAGGACTTTGATGGTAGAAAACTGAAGTAGTCACATATGCACTGTATCTAAATGTCGAATTGAAGTCTTGGTGTAGATAAGTGTGGATACAAAAGCTGGATATGGATAAATTTCACCGAATAAGTTATGAAAAATATTGAATTTATAATATTCCAATTTTGTTTTTAAATGTAAAAAAATCATTATCGACTACATTCATGTACTACATGTACAGATTTATCTGTCAAACACACCCCGTTCTTTAATCACTCGTTGTTCCTAAATATCGTAAATTTGATGTTGAGAACGATCTTTGATAATTTCCAGATGTTTTTAGCGATGCAAAAGTTCACCTGCCTTTTGATATGCTGGCAGGCACCATCTAAGGTGTTCTTGCTCGACAGGTAGATGAACTTTTGCACTATTTCTGTTTTACATGTATGTTGTTAAAATCTTGTACTTCTTCTGTGTTACTTTGGTCTTACATGAGTTGGAATTTCTCAAAAACTTCAAAAAAGCTTTTAAAAAATCATCTCATTTTTGAGAAATCATTAACATCAACATATTTGACATTCCTCCTGATATAAAATTAAAAGCTATGTTTTATGTGCCCGTAATCGAAGATTCGGGGGTACTGTATATAGTATTGTCGGGCCAGTCCGTCTGTCTGCCTGTCTGTCTTTCTGTCTGTCCGCAAAGAACTTTAACCTTGCCCATAACTTTTAATTTAGTAAAGCTATGACTTTCATATTTTATATGTGTATTTCTTATAACCAGACCTTTCTTTAGGTACCACAACTTTTGAACAGGTGGTGCTAGGGCTTTCACATTTCATAATTGTATTTCTTGTGAGAAGACCTTACTTTGAGTACCAACATATTTAATCTGCATTTAAGAAAGGTTTAATCTTCGCTATGTTGCCATACAGGGGCATCAGTGTTTCACAGACACATCTTGTTTTAGGTCACCTGAGTCACTCAGGTGACCTATTCCTATCTGTTTTCGTCCGTCGTCGTACG